TATTATATTATTATTATATTATTATTATTATATTATATTATATTATATTATTATTATATTATTATTATATTATTATTATATTATTATTATTATATCATTTATGCCGAATTGTGTCTATTGTTCACGGTGCGTGCTTGTGCACGCGGGTAGGCGGGTGTTCGTTGTTCGCCATCATCATTATTCTACCCTTCCTCATCATAATTCGCCGTTATTCGAAACTTATTAAGTATATATGTATATTATACTTCTATGTATATGTATATACTTCTTATATGATATACTCGTTTCGTCATTAGAATTCACGCTTAGGGTGACCCACGTCTCTTTGAGGACTTGTATCTCTCTTCATCTTCTTCTTCTTCTATTACTACTACATCTACTTCTAGTACTTCTTGTAATTATAAAATCTAAATCGAACTCGAGATATTCTTTAAATGGAGAATAACGAATTCGAATCGTCTTGTGTGCTCGTCGTCGAAGTTCATTTCGAATGAATTTATTAATGTTATTATTACTAATATTATTATTATTTTATTATTATTATAATTATATTATTATTATTAATATTATTATTATTATTATTAATATTATTAATATTATTATTATTATTAATATTATTAATATTATTAATATTATTATTATTATTATTATTATTATTATTATTATTATGATTATTATTATTATTATTATTATTGTATTCTCGAGGATATACACGCATGTACACATACATAAACATATACACACATACAGCTCGAAAAATATTTGCTCGATCGAAATCTTCTGGTTTTAAGGAAATAGAATGAGGAATAAATGTAATCATTGCAAAATCATATTAAAATACTACTGCTACTTCTATATACTACTACTGTTACTGCTACTACTTCTACTACACGGTCATTGTACTTAATGGTGACAAACGAGTTTTGCCTAAACCTATGAGCTATAATTCGTGATTGTATTTATGTGTACACATATGTACAATCTTAGAATGATACTGATGTAAAATGGTAAAAGAAAGATTTTCAAAAAAATAGTGATTTATGTAAAAACGAACGAGAGAACGAGAGCGAAAGCGAGAGAGAGAGAAAGAAGTGTGTGTGTATAAAAATATACATGAAAATATCATTAAAACAAGCGGGGAAAAATCACGCGTACGTATAGACTTAAATATAATATTAACATCATGGAAGTGAAACTTTTACTTACATCATGGCGGATTTGATAAGACATCGAAAAGAAGAAACAGAAATGGAACGGCGTTGCATAAAAAACATCTAACATTTGTATCTTCTCTTATTCATTTTTGAGGATGAACGTACGACGAGATGGCACAAATGGAGCTGAAGAAATAAAAAGAAACGGATGACTATAACAATGATAAAGATGATGATAATGATAATAATGATGATGATGATAATATTAATAATAATGATCATGATGTGATGATGATGATGATAACTCGCGTGATTAGAAAAATGAAAAAAGAATAAAGGAAAGTTACAAAAAAAAAATATATAAAAAGAAACGGAAAGAAGTAAAATATAAACTCATCGTGTATTTACTTGTCAGTATTTGAGTGATTCTAAAAGCTCATTTAATTCATGCTTATAATTATCGAATTCGTTGTGTAATGTCTATTAAGATCACATACTTGCATAAATACACTTATACACCATACACACGGTATCGCGTTTTTAAATGTTTTATAATAATTCGTCATTTTAAGAATCACATTTTTTGCGAGAAGAGATATTTATCTCTAATGAAAATTTTTAAGTGCGAATTTTAATTCATTATAATTAAATAGATAGGATTTATAAAAAAAAAAGAAAGATAGAAAAAGAGAGAGAGAGTGAGAGTGAGAGCAAGTAAGAACAAAAAGAAATGGAGAGAATGAACAATATTATTGGTAATGTGTATCTTAACGAGCACTATGTTCAAATTTTCGTTCATTTTGTTCATATATATATTTTTTTTCGTTCGTATATACCTAATCCGTTCAGTACACTATATTTTATTTGTATTATTTTTTATTTGCTGCTATTTTTCTTTTTTTTCTTTTTATTAAAAAGCTTAGTTGATATTCTCATCGTGTTCTCGTTTTAATTAAATTCCTTTTCAACGAATGTAAGAAGCATATATGCGTTTTACCGATCACCCCACACACCACCCTACTACCCCTACCTTGTATCGCGCGTATATATTCATAAATCGTTTCTCAACATGAGATGTTCACTGCCGTTAGAAGATTTTCTAAAGAAAAAAAAAATAAAAGAAAAAAAGAAACGATGCCGCTTTTAATTTTGTATCGACGACCATTTAAATATTAGCATACGACCACGACGACGAAGACGACGACGATGACTACGAAAGAAAATAATAATAATAACAACAACGACTGATCAAACTAATACAAAATAATATCTCTCTTCTGTAAAGAACGATGTACATATACACAAGAAATGGAATAATAAGAAAGTGCGTTAAACAAAAAGAAAAAAAAATGGTAAAAAAAAAAAAGAAAAAAATAATTTCCGAAAAAAAAATAAACTGATCGTTTTGATTTTTTTTTTGTTGACGATTTCTTATAAAAAGAAAAGAAAAATGAACAAAAGGCACAACTTTAAAAAATAGTAAGAAAAGATTATAAATAATAATGATTATTTTGTGCGACAATGAATTCGAATGAGATAATAAGAAAAACAAAAGCAAATAAATCATTCCCAAAAATAACTAATAAAAAGAAATTATGCGACTATTTGTGTTCTGGCGTATTGATCTTCTTCGAGAGATCTGTAATCTCATTGTAAAAAAAATAAAATTAGTATTATAATCATTACGACGTGGTGATAAACAATGATGTATGAATCCTAATTCCGGGAATGAATTCTTGCGCGTCGAATTTAAAAGAAACTTTTAAGGAGAAGAAAATTATTAACGAAAATAAAAACAATAACGAGAGAAAACTAGAGGCTGCACACACACACACGCACACACGTACACACCACTACACGCGCGTGAATGATACACAATGAAACACATCTTTACCTAAACTAATTGGAAAAAATGGAATTTTTCAAATTGTCTCGTATATATACATGCATCTAACATTCATGCAAGCAAACACACATGTATGTATACGTAAATACATACCAGACGACGTTGGTTAGTTTTGAATGATGCATATATCTATTAATGAAATAAAATAAAATAAAATAAAAATTAAAAGAAAAAAGTCGTGCATTAAAAGCATTGCAAAGATGATCTCCAAACATAAGGAGAAGAACGTTAACGTTATATCTTGTTTTGTATGTAATTGATGTACATTATTACTCGTAAAGTAAAAAAAAAAATAAATACACAGGAACTCAACATGCGTACACACATACATATACATACATTGAAGCATAGTGAAAATGATTGAAATAGCACGACATGAAAAACAAAAAAATACGACAAACAAAAATTTCAAACAGTAGCGATGTGGTTATAATATACATAATATATGTACGGTGGATATAAATAATAATAATAATAAAAAAAAAATGATAAGGAAAGTGACGAGAAAAGCATGTTTGTTAGTACGTAAAATAAAAAAGAAAAAAAAACACATTGTATTAGATCGAGTATATATATATATATATAAATAAATAAATAAATGAATGAATAAAAATTAATAAATAAAATGAAATAAATAAATATATATATATATATAAATAAATAAATATATATATTAAAGACTTAAAAAGTAAGATTAAGATCATTCTAACACAGTGTTAGGAAGTGGCGAAGAAAAAAAAATAGAATGTTATGAAATAATAACTATGAATGAGAGAGAGTGAGAGAGAGAGTGAGAGAGAAAGAGAGGAAGAAAGATAGAAAGATAGATAGATCATCGATGTGCAAAACGTAATCTAAGAACGATCGGATCGATAAGATCGTCTCGAAAATCGCGCGCGTCCTTGAAAAAAGATATATATACATTTATATATACATACATATATATACACACATACATAGTATATATAAGTATATATATATAAATATATATAAATATATGTATACATATATGATTTCGAATCTTGATTTGCGGATACACCAGAGTAGGAGACGAATATTTTTTTATTAATTTCTGCAAATCAATGGTTACACGTATTTATCGGTAATAATAATAATTATTATTATTATTAAAATAATAATAAAAATAATAATAATAATATTAATATTAATAATTTAATAATAATATTAATTAAAATAATAATAATAATAG